TAGCTGGGATTACAGGCATGCGCCACCACGCCCTGTTAACTTCCAACCTCAGGTGATCTGCCCGTCTCGGCCTCCCAAAGTGCTGGGATTACAGGCATGAGCCACCACGCTCAGCCTATGTTGGCTTTTTTACCATCTCAGAACGTGGTTCACTACTTTTTTTTTGAGACAGGGTCTTGTTCTGGCATCCAGGCAGGAGTGCAATGGCGTGATCTTGGCTCACCACAGCCTGGACCTCCCGGGCTCAAGTAATTATCCCACCTTAGCCCCCCAAGTAGCTGAAACTACAGGCGCGCACCACCACACCCAGCTAAATTTTGTATTTTTTGTAGAGACAGGGTTTCGCCATGTTGGCCAGGCTGGTCTCGAACTCTTGAGCTCAAGTGATTCCATCCACCTTCGCCTCCAAAAGTGCTGGGATTATAGGCATGAGCCAGCGCTCCCGGCTTCACTAATTTCTGAGCTGATTTGCTTTTCTTTTCACAGAAGTTATCAAAAGTAGTTTTCCAAAAGTTATTCTGAAGTAACTTTTCCAAAAGTTATCAAAAGTACTTTTTATTTGGGATATTCGGGGCTGGGGTCTTCCCAATCCCTACCCAGCCCAGCTTCCTTTAGAAAATACAGGAGAGGGCCGGGCGTGGTGGCTCATGCCTCTAATCCCAGCACTTTGGGAGGCCTAGGCAGGTGGATCACAAGGTCAGGAGATCGAGACCATGGTGAAACCCCGTCTCTACTAAAAATACAAAAAATTAGCCGGGCACGGTGGTGGGCGCCTGTAGTCCCAGCTACTCAGGAGGCTGAGGCAGGAGAATGGCGTGAACCTGGGAGGTGGAGTTTGCAGTGAGCCGAGATCGTGCCACTGCACTCCAGCCTGGGGGACAGAGCGAGACTCCATCTCAAAAAAAAAAAAAAGAAAATAGCAGGAGAGGCCGGGCGCAGTGACTCACGCCTGTAATCCCAGCACTTTGGGAGGCCGAGGTAGGTGGATTGCCTGAGGTCAAGAGTTCGAGACCAGTCTGGTCAACATGGTGAAACCCTGTCTCTACTAAAAACACAAAAATTTGCCGGGCATGGTAGCGGGTGCCTAGAATCCCACCCAGCTACTCGGGAGGCTGAGGCAGGAGAATTGCTTGAACTGGGGAGATGGAGGTTGCAGTGAGTCATCACGCCACTTCACTCCAGCCTGAGCAAGAGCAAAACTCCACCTCAAAAAAAAAAAAAAAAAAAAAGAAAATAGCAGGAGGCCAGGCCAGGTGCGGTGGCTCATGCTTGTAATTCCAGCACTTTGGGAGGCTGAGGTGGGCAGATCACGAGGTCAGGAGTTCAAGACCAGTCTGGCTAACATGGTGAAACCTTGTCTCTCCTAAAAATACACAAATTGGCCCGGTGTGGTGGCGGGCGCCTGTAATCCCAGCTACTTGGGAGGCTGAGGCAGGAGAATCACTTGAACCCGGGAGGCGGAGGTTGCAGTGAGCCGAGACCATCTTCTAGGGGGAACTGCAAGCGTCTCCCCAGCCCCCAGAGGGTCGGGCTTCTGGGCCCAGCCACTGTCTGTCATGCCTGCACTCAGGCAGCTGGAGGGGTGGGAGGGGAGATGGCTCCTGGCCTTGGCCATGGCTGCCTTGGCCTCCACCATTCCTGCTCCTCTTCCATGCAGCCCCCTGACTTGGGAGGCCATTTCACGCCAGTCTGGGCAACAAGAGTGAAGCTTTGTCTCAAAAAAAAAAAAAAAGAAAGAAAAAGAAAAAAGAAAGAAAGGAAAAAAAAGAAAAGAAAATTGCAGAAGGCCAAAGTGGCCAGCTGGGCCCTGGTGTTCAGCAGATGCGGGTTCGTGTCCCAGCTCCGCCACCTCCTGGCTGTGTGTCCTTGGACAGGCAGTCTCCCATCCCTGCGTGTCCTCCTCCCTCCTGCAATTGAGGATCGTCATTTCCTGCCTCCTGAGGGCCCCTGGAGATACGCAGTGGCACAGGCCTGGGGTGCAGTAGCACTCAGGGAATGTGGCAGGGGCCATGGTTACCATCATGATTCTATCTGGAGAGCCTCAGATGCCAGAGTGAGGTTGGGATTTCAGGTCCCGGGCAGTGGGGCCCCCAACAGGCTTTGGGGCAACTGCATGACATGGCCAGGCCAACTGAGGCCAGGTAGAGGCTGTGGGCTGCAGCGTGGAGGGAGGGGACAGCTGAACTCTGAAGAGCCATCTCCCACCTCATTGTGTGTCACAGGTGGTTGCGAGGGACCTGTCCCAGGTCCTGGTGTTTGAGGATGACGTGCGCTTTGAGAGCAACTTCAGGGGGAGGCTGGAGCGGCTGATGGAGGATGTGGAGGCAGAGAAACTGCCATGGGACCTGATGTAGGCAGCCTGCGCCCTCAGGGACAGGGGGGCGGGGTGGGCCCCCGGAGTCTGCCTTTTCCTGCTTGGGACCCTGGCCAGCCCCTCCCCCAAGAGCCTGGCCCTGTAGGAGTGGGTGCGGGGTGGGGGGGTCTCATGACACCCAGGACCTAAGAGAGTCCTGGGCCCCTTGGTGTCACTTTCAGCTACCTCGGGCGGAAGCAGGTGAACCCTGAGAAGGAGGCAGCCGTGGAGGGGCTGCCGGGCCTGGTGGTGGCCGGGTACTCCTACTGGACACTGGCCTACGCCCTGAGCCTGGCGGGCGCCCGCAAGCTGCTGGCCTCACAGCCTCTACGCCGCATGCTGCCTGTGGATGAGTTCCTGCCCATCATGTTCGACCAGCACCCCAAGTGAGGCTCTGATGGGGGCCGGGCATGGCAGGGCAGGGGGGTCCCCTCCAGGAACTCACCTCAATCAGTAGGAAGTCCCCTCACCGGGCAGATGGGGAGACTGGGACTGGCAAGGCCAAGTCATTGGCCCAGGTCACCAAGGAGTGGCTCAGCCTAACCTTAGAGTCAGACCAATCTCGGTGTGTATTTTGCGCAGCTCACGCAGGCTTTTTTTTTTTTTTTTTTAAATAGAGTCCTGCTCTGTTGCCCAGGCTAGAATACAGTGGTGTGATTTGGACTCACTGCACCCTCTGCCTCCCAGGTTCAAGCAATTCTCCTGCCTCAGCTTCCCAAGTAGCTGGGATTACAGGCAAATGCCACCATACCCTGCTATTATTTATTTATTTATTTATTTATTTATTTTTGAGACAGAATCTTGCTCTGTTGCCCAGGCTGGAGTGCTGTGGCAAGATCTTGGTGCCTTGGCGCGACCTTGGCTCACTGCAACCTCCGCTTCCCAGGTTCAAGTGATTTTCCTGCCTCAGCCTCCTGAGTAGCTGGGATTACAGGTGCCGGCCAGCACACCCAGCTAACTTTTTTGTATTTTTAGTAGATACGGGGTTTTTTCCATGTTGGCCAGGCTGGTGTCGAACTCCTTGACCTCAAGTGATCCGCTTGATCACTTGAGTGCTGGGATTACAGGCGTGAGCCACTGTATTTTTGGTAGAGATGGGGTTTTGCCATGTTGGTCAGGCTAGTCTCGAACTCCCGACTTCAGGTGATCTGCCCGTCTCAGCCTCCCGAATATTGGGATTACAGGCATGAGCCACCGCGCCCAGCTGCATGCAGTTTTTAATCAAATGACTTTGCTGTTCTCAGCCTCTGTTTCTTCATCTGAAAATGGAGATAGTAGAAGTCCCACTGCTCAGGGCCGTTGTGAGGACTAGATGACAGGGATGAGGTGCTTTGGGCAGGCAAGGTGCCTGGCTCCAGGCAGGCGTGTGAGCGGGGAGTAGGGGCCCGCCTCAGTCCTCCTGAGCTGTCCTCTCACCTTACAGCGAGCAGTACAAGGCACACTTCTGGCCGAGGGACCTGGTGGCCTTCTCTGCCCAGCCCCTGCTTGCTGCCCCTACCCACTATGCCGGGGACGCCGAGTGGCTCAGTGACACGGAGACTTCCTCTCCATGGGATGACGACAGCGGCCGCCTCATCAGCTGGAGTGGCTCCCAAAAGACCCTGCGCAGCCCTCGCCTGGACATGGCTGGCAGCTGTGGGCACAGCCTCCAACCCCAGCCTCGAGATGAACTCTAGGTGAGGCTGGGGTGGAAAGAGGCCCCAGCCCCATAGGCCTTGGCTTGCTCTCCCCTTTGATGGCATGACTATATCTGGGGTTGTTTTCCCCCTTCTCAGCCTTCTCTCTCCCTCTCTCCATCTCTAGCTTTGCCTTTGTGTCCTTTTTTTTTTTTTTTTTGAGACGGAGTCTCCCTCTGTCACCCAAGTTGGAGTGCAGTGGCCGGATCTCGGCTCACTCCAAGCTCCGCCTCCCAGGTTCACGCTATTCTCCTGCCTCAGCCTCCCAAGTAGCTGGGACTACAGGCGCCCGCCACCATGCCCGGCTAATTTTTTTTTGTATTTTTAGTAGAAACGGGGTTTCACCGTGTTTGCCAGGATGGTCTCGATCTCCTGACCTCATAATCCACCCGTCTCAGCCTCCCAAAGTGCTGGGATTACAGGTGTGAGCCACTGTGCCCGGCCATGTTTTGTTTTGTTTTTTTTTTTTTTGAGATGGAGTCTTGCTCTGTTGCCCAGGCTGGAGTGCAGTGGTGTGATCTTGGTTCACTGCAACCTCCACCTCTCGGGCTCAAGCATTTCTCCTGCCTCAGCCTCCCTAGTAACTGGGATTATAGGCACCCACCACCAGGCCTGGCTAATTTTTGTATTTTTATTTTTATTTATTTACTTATTTTGAGACGGAGTCTTGCTCTGTCGCCTAGGCTGGAGTGCAGTGGCATGATCTCAGCTCACTGCAACCTCTCTGCCTCCCGCGTCCTGGGTTCAATCAATTCTCCTGTCTCAGCCTCCCGAGTAGCTGGGACTACAGGTGCCCGCCACCTCGCCCAGCTAAATTTTGTATTTTTAGTAGAGACAGGGTTTCATCATGTCGGCCAGGCTGGTCTTGAACTCCTGACCTCAGGTGATCTGCCCACCTCGGCTTCCCAATGTGCTGGGATTACAGGCGTGAGCCACCACACCTGGCCTTTTGTATTTTTAGTAGAGACGGGGTTTCACCACGTTGGCCAGTCTGGTCTTCAACTCCTGACCTCAAATAATCCGGCTGTCTCAGTCTCCCAAAGTGCTGGGGATTACAGGCGTGACCCACTGTGCCTGGCCTCTGTGTCTGTCTCTAATTGTACCTTCCGCTGTCTCTGCATCCCTTTCTAGCTCTTCCTCTCTCTGCCTGTCTCTGCCTCTGTTCTCCTGTATCTGTCAGTATCTGTCTCTCTCTGATTCTGTCAAATTCTCTTTCTCTTCCTGCTCCTGCTGTCCCACCAGGTCCAGGTGATGACTGCAAAGGAGTGCCCAGGAGCAGGCCACTACTGCCCAGAGAGCAGAGGAGGAGGTTGTTGGCAGGGACCGCAGATCCAGTCAGACCTGGCCACCACCTTGGGCATGGCCACTCTGCCCTCTGGACCTGCCTTTCATCGGGAGAAACCACTCAGAGGTGGATCCCATTCCCTAAAGGTCTCACCGCAAAGGAACAGGACTTCCAGGCCCCTTGACCCTGCCTGGCCTGATTCAGGGCCTGGTGGCCCCCAGCCTTCTGTTTCAAGCTGGGCATACCCCAGGCCCCCTTCCCTCCCTAAGGACTCAGCTGAGGGACCCCTTTGCCCCCTTCTACCTCCACCTCAGCACCCTCCCCCAGCTTGATGTTTCGGTCTCCCCAGCACCCTCCTCCCTGGCCAGTGCAAAGTACAGAGAGGTAGAGGAGGGCCCTTGCAGACCTGTTGCCCAGCACACAGTAGGCCCTCAATAAAAGCCATTTGCACTTTAAATATATATACACGTGTGTGTGTGTGTGTGTGTGTGTGTGTGTATATATAGACACAGGTTCTCCCTCCATTGCCCAGGCTGAAGTGCAGTGGCACAAACCTAGCTCACTGCAGTCTCAACCTCCTGGGCTCAAGCGATCCTCTTGCTTCAGTCTCCCACATAGCTGGACCACAGGCACGTGCCACCACACCTGGCTAAATTTTTTTTTGTATTTTTTTGTAGAGACTGGGTTTTGCATGTTGCCCAGGCTGGTCTCAAACTCCTGGGCTCAATCTACTCAACGTGGCCTCCCACAGTGCTGGGATGAGAGGCCGTGAGCCACTGCACCCTGCCACTTTATATATGTATATATATATTTGTTTGTTTTTAAGATGGAGTCTCACTCTGTCACCCAGGCTGGAGTGCAGTGGCGCGATCTCAGCTCACAGCAGCCTCCGCCTCTTGGGTTCAAGTGATTCTCCTGCCTCAGCCTTCCTAGTAGCTGGGATTACAGGCATGCGCCCCCTCGCCCGGCTAATTTTTGTATTTTGACTTCATATTTTTTAACTCATGGCTGAGCCTCTGCATCTCGGCTGGCATGGGAGGCGGCTTCCTGATCTGTGGTTGACCAATTAGAGGGACAGAGACGGGAGGACGGGCGAGGAGTCAGGCCGATCCAGCATCGCCTCTGTGCTGGGTGATTTGGGTGGGTGTCATCCCTTCCTGGGCCTTAGTCTACTTTTTGGTCATTGTGGCTGGTTGGGTATAGAGTGGCCTGGCCTGAGTCCGGCCCACAGTGAGTGCTCACCCAGTGGGGCGGATGTGGTCATCCCCGAAGTCATTACCAGCCTCACCTTGCTGGTCAGGGTGGGCCCAGCCAGTCCAAGGGCTGCTGATATCCCCCAGCTCTTTGGATCATCTCTTGTGCAGCTGAAACCCTGACAGGGGAAGAGGAACCCCCTGGGAGGGGCTGGGGGAGATCCAGGGTTCCCCGCTGGCACTAACCAGTGTGGCCACCAGAGGGCGCGAGGAGGCAGAGCCTGTACTTGGACAGGATGCTCCCTGCTGGGTTGGGGTCAACACCAGGAAGGGAGCGTGGGCCATAAGGAAACTCCCCTTGGTGCTGGGGCGACCCGCAGCAGCTGATGGGAACTGCAAGCCTCTCCCCAACCCCTAGAGGGTCGGGCTTCTGGGCCCAGCCACTGTCTGTCATGCCTGCACTCAGGCAGCTGGAGGGGTGGGAGGGGAGATGGCTCCTGGCCTTGGCCATGGCTGCCTTGGCCTCCACCAGTGCAGGACTGTGGCACTGATATCTCCAGGCTCCCCGTTCCTGCTCCTCTTTCATAGCGGCCCCCGGACTTGGTTGTGTGAGCACCCTGGTCTTGGCAGAGTCCAAGAGGCATTCCCTGAGGTTGGGGTATCCCTTGGCTCTGTCCTGGGTGTGAGGTCCAGTACCTGGCACGGCTGTGAGAAGGACCTTGGGCCGGAGCTGTGGACTCGGTGCTTTATTCGTTCTAAGATGAAAGCCATTCATTCTTGATGGCTATGACCTTGAGCAACTCACTTCTCTCCAGGCTCCAGGTGTCCCCTTCATTCATTTGTTAACCTTTATTAAGCACCTCCCATGGGCCACGATCAGGCCCTGGGTATTCAGCAGTGAACGAAACTGACAAAAACTCCTGACCTCATTAAGCTGACATTCTTTTTTTTCTTTTTTTTGTGACAGAGTCTCATTCTGTCACCTTCTGTCACCACACCCAGCCAAAACTGACATCTTAATGAGGGATACAGACAAAAACAAGGAAAGATTACAGGGTGTGAATTGCTATAGAGAAAAATGAGGAAGGGGGAGATACAAAGTAAGATCTAAGAAGTTAACAACTGAACAAAGACGCAGGAGTGGGCCAGGCATAGTCGCTCACGCCTGTAATCCTAGCGCTTTGGAAGGCCTAAGCAGATGGATCACTGGAGGCCAGGAGTTTGAGACCAGCCTGGTCAACACAGGGAAATCCTGTCTCTATTAAAAATACAAAAATTAGCCAGGTGTGGCAGTGGGCGCCTGTAATGCCAGCTACTCGGGAGACTGAAGCAGGAGAATTGCTTGAATCTGGGAGGTGGAGGTTGCAGTGAGCTGAACTTGTGCCACTGCACTCCAACCTGGGCGACAGAGTGAGACTCCATCTCAAAAACGAAAGACTTCACTGGGCGGGGTGGCTCACACCTGTAATCCCACCACTTTGGGAGGCTGAGGCAGGTGGATCACGAGGTCAGGAGTTTAGGACCAGCCTGGCCAAGAGGGTTAAACACTGTCTCTACTAAAAATACAAAAATTAGCCAGGGATGGTGGTGGGCGCCTGTAATCCCAGCTACTTGGGAGGCTGAGGCAGAGAATTGCTTGAACCTGGGAGGCGGAGGTTGCAGTGAGCCAAGATCACACCACTGCACTCCAGCCTGGGTGATAGGTGATAGAGTGAGACTTCATCTAAAAAAAAAAAAAGACTTGCAGGAGGGGAGGGGCTGAGCCTTGGGGATAGCAAAAGGAAGAGCTTCCAAGCAGAAGGAACAGCATATGCAAAGGTCCTGAGGGAGGAGCAGGACTGACAATACAGAGAGAGGAGGAGCCAGTGTCTAGAGGTGATAGAGCCAAGGTTGGGGCCAGAGCAGGGATGGTCATGAAGGCCATTTTGGCTTTTACTCTGAGATGGAGCCCCCAGAGAGATGGAGGTGAAGAAGTAACCATCTAACTTACATTTTTACATGATCACCCTGGCAGAGATGTGGCATGATCTCACATAGTGTTATAAGATCACACCGGCTACTGTGCTGAGAATAAACTGTAGGGAGGTCCATGGAAGAAACAGGGAGACCAGTTAGGAACCCACTGTAATAATTCAAGCATGGCTGGGTGCGGTGGCTCACGCCTGTAAGCCTAGCACATTGGGAGGCCGAGGTGGGTGGATCACCTGAGGTCAGGATTTTGAGACCAGCCTGGCCAACATGGTGAAACCCCATCTCTACTAAAAATACAAAAATTAGTCAGGCATGGTGGTGGATGCCTGTAATCCCAGCTACTCAGGAGGCTGAGGCAGGAGAATTGCCTGAACCTGGGAGGCAGAAAACTACAGGAGCCTAGATCGCACCACTGCATTTCACGCCTGGGCAACAAAATTGAAACTTGGTTTAAAAAAAAAAAAAAAAAAAAAATGTGGGCGCAAACAACTCCAAGCCTGTAATCCCAGCACTTTGGGAGGCCAAGATGGGTGGGATCACGAGGTCGAGAGATCGAGATCTCTGGCTAACAGTGAAACCCCGTCTCTGCCAAAAATGCAGCACGGCCGGGGCGCGGTGGCTCACTTGCGTCCCCAGCACTTTGGGGGGCAGGCGGGCGGATCTAAGGTCAGGAGATCGAGACCATGGTGAAACCCCGTCTCCCACTAGAAATAGAAAAAATTAGCCGGGCGCAGTGAGCGCCTGTAGTCCCAGCTGCTCGGGAGGCAGAGGCGGAGAGCGGTGTGAATCCGGGAGGCGGAGCTGCAGTGAGCCGGGATTGCGCCACAGCACTCGCTTCGGCGACAGAGACTCCGTCTCAAAAAAAAAAAAAAAAAAAAATACGAAAAACTAGCCGAGGCGAGGTAGCGGGCGCCTGTGATCCCAGCCACTCGGGAGGCTGAGGCAGAGGTGGCGCTGCTGGGAGGCGGAGCTTGCAGTGAGCTGAGATCTGGCCACTGCCTCCAGCGGGCGACAAGCGAGACTCCATCTCAACAAAAAAAAAAAAGGTTAGGTGAGTGGTGGTGGGCACCTGTGATCTCAGCTACTCAGTAGACAGGAGGTAGGAGAATCGCTTGAACCCGGAGGCGGAGGCTGCAGTAGGAGAATCGCTTGAACCCGGAGGCGGAGGCTGCAGTGAGCTGTGATCGTGCAATTGTACTCCAGCCTGAGTGACTGAGTGAGACTGTCTCAAAAAGAAAAAATAAAAATTGAGATCCAAAAGGATATGTCAGGTAAGCAGTTGGATACACAAGTCTGGAATTCAGGGCCCTAGTCTGGGCTGGAGATAGAGGCTGGGAACCCTTCAAGCTGTGTACTCCTCCACCAGTTACCCAGGGAACCTGTTAAAAGGTACATTCCTGCCCCCTCCCAATTCTCTGAAGGTTCTGATTTAGTAGGCTGTGGGTGAGGCCTGACGTTATTTACTCTCTCTCTCTTTTTTTTTTGGTAGAGACACAGTTCTCACTATGTTGCCCAGGCTGGTCTCAAACTCCCGAGCTCAAGTGATCTTCCTGCCTCAGCCTCCTAAAGTGCTGTGATTACAGGCATGAGCCACTGTACCTGGCCTTTTTAATTTTTATTTATTTATTTTTGAGACAGAGTATCGCTCTGTCTTACTCTGTCACCCAGGCAGTGATGTACTCGCCAGAGTACAGTGGTGCTCTGTACTCTGTACCACAGCTCATTGCAGCCTTGACCTCCTGGGCTCAACTGATCCTCCTGCCTCAGCCTCCCAAGTAGCTGGATCTACAGGCCCTTGCCACCACCCTGGCTAATTTTTAAATTTTTTGTAGAGGTGAGATCTCGGTATATTACCCAGGCTGGTCTTGAATCCTGAGCTCAAACAATCCTCCTGCCTCAGCCTCCTAAAGTTCTGGGATTACAGGTGTGAGCCACCACACCCAGGCTGGTGTTTTGTTTTGTTTTGTTTTGTTTTGAAACGAGTCTCCCTCTGTCGCCCAGGCTGTAGTGCAGTAGCAGGATCTCAGCTTACTGCAACCTCTACCTCTTGGGTTCAAGTGATTCTCCTGCCTCAGTCTCCCAAGTAGTTGGGATTACAGGTGTGAGACACCACGTCCCCCTAATTTTTGAACTTTTATTGGAGACTGGGTTTCAGCAGGTTGGCCAGGCTGGTCTTGAACTCCTGAGCTCAAGCAATTCCCCCCACCTTGACCTCCCAAAGTGCTGGGATTACTGATGTGAGCCACCACGCCTTGCCAAGGCGATGGCTTTTATAGAAATCTGTTCCCTGATTTTTT